GTGTTTTCAAGTCCTAATCAACATTCTAAATCCATTTTCAAGACAGATTTTGTGAAAAGAAATTAGACGAACATAAGATTCACCTTTTTTTTTTTTCTGTTTTCGAACATCCATAGTTCAGTACTGGACAGGAGCACCTAATCAAATTCTTACTGTATGAGAGAAATATTCAGAATGATAAAATTCTGAATATTTCAAAAAGAGACCAAAACTATGCTGATACTCCATTTGGTTCAAGAACAGCGACAAATTTACTTTGGGTGCACCTTTCCAAAGCCGTCTTTGGTATAGTTGCCCTCGGTTTAAGGAGTTTTAAATAGAAATAAAATACTTTAGATTTTTTTTTTTTTTTTTGACAAAAGAGGTGAAGTATTTTTAATGGTTAATAAATTCAATATATTTCGAAATTCATGTAAAAAGTGAACATTTCTAAAGATACATGTTTTTAAGAAATCAAATGCAGTCATAAAATGATGAATTTGTAAAGAATAAAAGAAAATGCATAGATCGGTTAAAAAAATCTCACCTTAGAAAGAGAAAGCAAATATTTTTAATGCTAAATGTTTTTTTTAAAAAGGAATAATACATTATTTTTTTTAACTAAAAGAAATAAAACACGTTACACTTGATTGAAAAAGGCAAACTACATTGAATCTTAAATGAATTTATATGGATATACATTTAAAGGGAAAGAAACTGTAAGACCAAAATGCATATGTTGTATATAAATGTGTATATATAATCTTTTAGAAATTATATTCAGAGTAAACGCGTAAAAGGGTATTTTAATTCAAATTGTAACGCCAATTTATACGCGGGACCCATCCGATGTTGACGATGATGTGTGTGCAGGGACGCCGATGGGCTCTTTACCTGCTCGAAATGATTTGAATGCAGGTAGAAGATGAGCAGCGCCTCCAGGATGAGCCCGGTCAGAGCCACGCTCACCAGCATGAAGAGAATCGTCTGAGCCAGCCCAGTGCACCGTCGGGCCCGGCCCGCTCGGGGCGGCAGCGGAGGGGCTGCGGCGGCGGCGTGGCTGTCGACCAAGTAGACTGACCGTGGGTGCCTCATATCTCTGCGGGAGCAAAACTCGTCTGTAGTAGAAAAGTGAAACGAGGCGGTTGAGAGGTGAGAAAATGAGCAAACGGGTTGGCTTCATTGTGGTTGCCAAAGCAACACGAGTTTCCACGCTCTAGCGGCAGTATGCGGGCGACGACCTTTGCACCACAAAGGAACCGTGCCTGTTTTTTATTTTATTTTTTAAACCAGCATAGTACATTTGTTAAGTGCAGTTCCGTTGTATGGAACGTTTAAATCGAATGAAACTCATACGTTTTGTATTTCACTTCAATGCGCAGTATATTTGAATTGAGGAAGCAGGAAAAGAGTGTGCTGACTGGCACTTCACGCGAGGTCTTCGGCGGGACGGTTCAAAATGTCAGGAAGAGCCTACTAGAGCACCTGAAGTTTATTTGGGTGAATTGGAGACACTTTTCAATGGTTGAATGTGTGCAGACTCCCATTCTATGCGAGTTCTTCAAGTGGAATTCAAGGCCTTAGACAAGGTGGAGGGAATTGTGACCTTGTTTGAAATGTCAGGAAAAGCCCGCTAGAACACGCGAAACTGCATTTGTGAGTTCATTGGAGGCACTTTAAATAGTGGCAGGTGTGTTCTGACTCTCATCCCACGCGAGTTCTTCAGCTGGAATTGGGACCTTGGACAAGGTGGAGGAAATTGTGAACACCTTGAAATGGCAGGAAAAGCCAAAGAGAACATGTGCCTACTTGTGCAACCACATTAATTCATATGGTGGTTTGCATCCATCCATCTATCCATTATCCTACCTAACCGGTTATCTAAATTGGGACATGGCGTCATGTTTGGATGACCGTTTGCAAGCACGTCAGCTTCCCCTTAATACTACCCCAGGGCGGCCATCCAGATGATCTGGTGCCGACGGATGGCAGATGCTCGTCAATTAGCCGCAGGCTACCAAACGAGAATGACTCGAGTTGGGCCGGCCGAGCAGGTTTTGACAGGAGCGCTTTACCGGCAACTTTGGTCCCTGCGCTCAGTGCGATTGAGACGATGGCGCGAGCGTGTTGGCTGGCTTTGGCGGCCTGCCTGGCCGCCAACCTGGCCCGGGTTTTGTCTTCGGTGCCCACTCAAAACATGGAGTTCACGTACTTGTTACCGGCGGGCAGCAGAGAGTGCTTCTTCCAATCTGTAGAGAAGGACAGCAGGCTGGAGTTTGAATACCAAGTACGGTACCTCGTCTCACTTGTAACATTCTGTGAGCTTTCGTTCCAGGCGTCAAAGAGCACCGCGCCTCTGCTTTACTGCTGTTCTTGAATTTGTGGACAAAAGCAATTGGACAAAGTGTTGTGTTGGTCCTCCCCTCACAGGTTGTGCTCTCATTTGGGCCACTGTGATTTCGAGTTGTACTACTAAAAAAAAATTTTTAAAGGGATTTAAAGAAGTAGTATTAAAAAGAAAAAGGTTCTAGTTATAAGTCTTTGGAATCAAAGATTCTGGTGCTCCAGCAATATTGAGAAAAAAAAAAAGAAATTCATATTTCATTCGTCGCTGCAGATGTGCGTCACAAATGCGACATCTGGTGTCAAGACATCTAGACTACACAAGAAAAGTTTGGGAAGAAAATTGAGCTTTTCATGCTGCGCCCGACCTGAACTACTTTGTTTATTAAAAATCAATAACATATAAGGCAAAATGTCCTGTTTAATTGGCAGATAATTTTGTTTGAATGATGTAAGACCGTAAACCAACCGGCATTACCGGGATTCTGTTTGCTTTTTGGCGGCGTAAAACGCAGGATGTTAGAGAATTGAAACATTCAATAATCTTGTCAGCAAAAATGAACCTGAGCTTGAAATACTTAATTTTCTCAATTCTCCTCTGAAATTTAGTCTTAAAACAAAATAATGCGCCGCCACCAATCGGCCGATTGCGGTATTACACCACCAAAATAGACAATTTCGTGAAAACTGGACAGTTTTTGGAGTGCAAAATGCAAGAGAAAAAAAATGAAGCAACAGGGATGTACAACTGTGAATTTCTTTCTTTGTTTCCCAACTTGCATTGTTGAATTGTTTTTGCTGTGGGAAGACGCAGCTGCTGACGGCGCTTTTGCCAGCGTCTTTCACTAATTACTACGTTGCGATTGACAGTGTCGCTGACAGGAAGAGTGGCAGCTTAACAAGCGTTGTGCTTGAAACTGAGCCAAGGCACGTCATCCTCATTGTCAGCGCTGCTTTGGGATGGTCAAACGAGTTACGCCGCACTTGAACAATGTGGATGTCACTTGGAAATTAACCACCATCCTGAAACATGATAAATGCGGCAGCGCCGTTGTCTCCATCTTCAATTCAACAAAGTCACAATTTTAACTAAATTTTATCCCAGCTGTCTTCGGGCAGGAGGCGGGGGACACCCTGAACTGGTTGCCAACCAATTGCAGGGCACACGCAGACGACCAACCATCCGTGCTCACATTCACACTTAGGGACAATTTAGAGCGTTCAATCAGCCTGCCATGCATGTTTTTGGAGGAAACCGGAGTACCCGGAGAAAACCCACACAGGCATGGGGAGAACAGGCAAATTCCACACAGGAAGGCTAAATCGAACTCTGCACCTCTGCACTGTGAGGCCGATGCGCTATCGAGTCGTCCACCGTGCCAACGTTACCAGAATAATGTCTTTTAAAAATAAATAAATAAATTATACAATCTGTGTGTGTGTTTCAGGTGATTGGCCAGCCGAATTTGGATGTGGGCTTTGTCATGATTTCACCCAGCGGCGACCGAGAGATTGACGACAAGAGGAAAAGTCACGCCATCCACAAGTAACTTAACTATAGACCTAGCTAGCTGTACCACCCGTATATATACATATCTAACTGTATACACGCACGCGCACGCACATATATGATGTGCGCGCCGTTTTTTTTAGGCTGGAGCGTACGCATCAAGGTGACTACCAGATGTGCTTCGACAACACGTTCAGTAAGGTGAAGGCAAAGACGCTGTTCTTCACGCTGCTCATCAGCAGTGCCAACGGCACGGCCGGAGACGAGCGCAAGGCCTCAAACGACACTTTGGAGGTGAAGTTGCAGGACTTCAAGGTGAGTGTCATGCTTTGGCACGCCGGGAAAACTGCATGTCCGTGTACGAGTCACAGCACAGCAAAGTAGAATAAACTCCATCCTCAAAATTTTCGCATTCTAACATTTGAATATTTTTCTGTCGTGTAATGTTTGATACAGCATATAAAGGAATGGAGGTTTATGCTAACTCCCTTAATCCCACCCACCCTCTGCATACACGTAGCTTGAAACCCTAACTCTATTTGAAACCCTAATTGGAAACCCTAACCCGAGTTTGAATCCCTACTTTGAAACCCTAACCCTAATTTGAAACCCCAATTGTAAACCCTAACCCAGGTTTGAAACCTTGCTTTGAAACCCTAATTTGAAACCTTAACCAATTAAAAACTTGACTTGAGACCCTATCTAAAACTATGAAGCATACTTTTAAACCCTAACAAAACTTGAAAACCCATATTTCAAACCCTAACCCAAGTTTAAAACCCTAACTTAAAACCCCGTGCGGGTGCGGCAGGTGAGAGTGTTCCCAAACTGATGCCAGCCTGATGCCCCTTCGACATGCCACTTCCCATTTGAAGTATTTGAACTTAAAAGTGAATTAGAACTAAAGTGTAAATGGAGTCCAAAATGGAGTTAAAAAAATATAAACAAATCAAGCCAGTGTAACTTCCTGTACAATTCATCTCGTGATTCTTTCACTAACTACTAGAGGGAGCTGGATTAAGTCATGTGGTGGTCATTGTTGTGGCATCCCGCAGAGTCGTCTGGATGCGTTGCACATGCTAATCCAGAGAGGTCGCGTGATCCAGCTCATGCTGAGGACCTTTGACACCAGAGACCAGCAGCGACAGGACAACAACCTGTGGAGGGTCAGCTTCTGGTCCTTCTTCAGCATGGTGCTGGTCCTGGTTGTGGCCGTCTCGCAGGTTCGCGTTCTCGAGTCGCTCTTCCCCGAGAGCTAGAACGGCATCAGCTGCTGGTCGAACAAAAAGCTTGTACACTCATATATACTTTCAAAGTTGTTCCTCTGAGCTGCTTGTATTTCAAATCGGTTCGTGTTGCAAAAAATATAATTTAAAAAAATGTCATAAAATATAGTCAGGTGTCATTTTATTGGATGGAATTTTATGTCCACATTGTGAGAGATTCAGGGGCGGGGAGCGTCAAAATTATGAGAATTAGTGATGAGTGATGCAACTGTGACAAAACTGTGACAAAAACACTTTGACAAGCAACAATATTTATTGAAACAAATGCGACAAGAGGAACGTCTCACTCTGACAAGAACTCGTGCTGTTACACGAATAAAGTATGTGTGCAAAAACTAAATGCGGGTTCACTATTTGCTCATCGGGATGTCGCTCCCGAGGCTTTGTCGGCATTAAATTAGAATTCATGTGTCATGAATGTGGTTCCAATTGCTCATGATAAGCAATGGCTTCATTATGTGTTGTCAATAAAACAAAAGAAAACATTGTAGCTATGTATTTATTTATTTATTTTTTACAAGGCACACATTACAACTGACCTTTGCGAAACCTTTATCACTCGAGTAGTTCTCATTTGAATCCACATTTTTTGACCATGTAGAGTGGATATAAAAAGTCTACACCCCCTTGTTGAAATGCCAGGTTTTTGTGACCAAAAAATAATGTTAATAATTGGGCCAATAATGCAAACCGTTTTACATCAATGTTGCAAAAAAAATAGATATAATTCACAACACCATCTTTTTGAGAATAAAAGTAAAAATAAAATTCCAGTAGGCTTTTCTTGACAATTTTGTGGTCACATCTTGGAACACAGCTTCAGAAAAATTGCATTTTTGGAAAGTGTGGGGAAGAGGAATTGAGTTTCCAGTCAAATTATTTTCAAAAGCTAAAATTTTGAACGGGGAGGGATGTGCAGAACTTTTTATATTCATTGCATTATTGAGCTTGGAGGCATTTACATGAGCGGAGGAAAAAAGTTCCATTGTGTGCTTTATTGGCAGTGTAAGAACAGTCTCGGTTTTTGAGTGTCCGTCCTCCTCTTTTTATTTTGTCCCAAGGTCAGCCAAGGTCACCACAGATTCCGTCGCGGAGCAGGTCGCCTGTTTCAACAACAATCACCGTTAATCTCTGCGCGTTCGTTCGTACACACTCGCGCTGTCATGACATTGTCAAGATGAAAATTTCTCCAAATAAACACAGTATTATGACAGCTGCAGTCGAAACTGTGATGACAGATGCAGTCGAATAAAATAAGTGTGTGTGTGTGTGTGTGTGTGTGTGTGTGTGTGTGTGTGTGTGTGTGTGTATACATATATAGATATATATATAGATATATATAGACTTTTTTTTTCCGCTCAATGAGCAGCAAAAACGTGTCTCAGAATGTGCAGGTGAGTACAGAACTCGTTTGTATTGTCGCATGAACCAATCAGCATAATTGCCTGCGTCATTTTTTAACTGACTGTCACAACATTTATGAAAGAATAAGAATAATGCTTGTTCATAATTTTGTTTTGTAGCCTGTCAAAGTCATCCGCAAAGGTCGGGTGATGGCAAATAGACTTTTCTTGTGTGTTGCATTTGTCGTGTTCTACCCCCTACCCCCTAAAATGACTGAGGCAACTTTGCTAGTCGGCGAACATGACGACGGCTTCAGAGAGGAGGAAGAGAGGAAAAGGACACGTGGAAACACAAAAGCACCAGAAACAATGCCGTCCTTTATTGTACACAAGATTTGTTCTTGACTCTTCATGTGTGAGGCAACACTGGCACTAAACAACAACAAAAAGGTCATCATCTTTTTATGGCTGCATGGTGAGATACAAGCAGAACGTGGTTATGTCAGATTGTGGAGCGTCCTCCCTTCGGAGTATTTAAATGTACATTAACATGCAGAGAAATTCAAATACCGTTTTCTGTCAATGTATAGTAAGGCCTTTTTAGCCCCAAAAAACGACGATGTATAGTAAGGCGTTTTTAACCGAAAAAAAAGGACCATGTATAGTAAGGCGTTTTCAGAACGAAAAAAAACTCCATGTACAGAAAGGCGTTTGTTGCCATAAAAAAAAAAACCTCGACCACATAGTAAGGCGTTTTTAGCTCGTTTTTAGCCCCAAAAAAGGAACATGTATCGTAAGGCGTTTTTAGTCGAAAAAAACGACCATGTATAGTAAGGCGCTTTTAGCCCGTTTTTCGCTGAAAAAAATGACCATGTGAAGTAAGGCATTTTTGGCCAAGAAAAACGACCATGTATAGTAAGGTGTTTTTAAACCGAAAAAAACGACCATGTATAGTAAGACGTTTTTAGCCGAAAAAAAACGACCATGTATAGTCAGGCGTTTTTAACCGAGAAAAACAACCATGTATGGTAAAGCGTTTTTGGTCGAAAAAAACGACCATGTATAGGAAGGCGTTTTTAAACCGAAAAAAACGACCATGTATAGTCAGGCGTTTTTAAGCCCAAAAAAACGACCATGTATAGTAAGGTGTTTTTAAACCGAAAAAAACGACCATGTATAGTTAGGCGTTTTTAAGCCCAAAAAACGACCATGTATAGTGAGGCGTTTTTAGCCGAAAAGAACGACCATGTATTGTAAGGCATTTTTAGATGAAAAAACGACCATGTCGAGTAAGGCTATTTCAGCAGAAAAAAACGACCATGTATGGTAAAGCATTTTTGGTTGAAAAAAACGACCATGTATAGGAAGGCGTTTTTAAACCGAAAAAAACGACCATGTATGGTAAGGCGTTTTTAGCCCAAAAAACGACCATGTATGGTAAGGCGTTTTTAGCCCAAAAAACGACCATGTATGGTAAGGCGTTTTTAGCCCAAAAAACGACCATGTATGGTAAGGCGTTTTTAGCCCAAAAAACGACCATGTATGGTAAGGCGTTTTTAGCCCAAAAAACGACCATGTATGGTAAGGCGTTTTTAGCCCAAAAAACGACCATGTATGGTAAGGCGTTTTTAGCCCAAAAAACGACCATGTATGGTAAGGCGTTTTTAGCCCAAAAAACGACCATGTATGGTAAGGCGTTTTTAGCCCAAAAAACGACCATGTATGGTAAGGCGTTTTTAGCCCAAAAAACGACCATGTATGGTAAGGCGTTTTTAGCCCAAAAAACGACCATGTATGGTAAGGCGTTTTTAGCCCAAAAAACGACCATGTATGGTAAGGCGTTTTTAGCCCAAAAAACGACCATGTATAGTGAGGCGTTTTTAGCCGAAAGAAAAACCATGTATAGTAAGCCGTTTTTCGCCGAAAAAAAACGACCATGTATTGTAAGGCGTTTTTCGTCGAAAAAAAAACCGACCGTTTTTACCCGAAAAAAAAGACCATGTATTGTAAGGTGTTTTTAGCCGAAAAAAAACGACCATGTATAGTAAGGCGTTTTGTGAATTGTTCCTTGGTGTGAGTGTGACCGCGAATCGTTGTGTTGAGGATCAGAAAACTGTTGGTCACGCACATTTTTGAGCACGTACAGGAAGCCCAGAATCGAACCTTGCACCTCCGCAGTGCGGGACCAACGAACTTACCATTTAACTACCAGGCAGGGAATGATTGCTGTTCTTGTTCCTCAGTGTGAGTGCGAATAGTTGCGCGGGGAAGAGCATCAGAAAATGTATAGCAATGCATGTTTTTGAGAACACACAGGAAGGCTGGAGAGAGAATCGAACCCTGCACCTCCTCAGTGCAAGGCTGACGCATGAACCATTCGATTACCAGTCAGCTGATGAACAAAAAATTCACATTGTCTGTAGATGTGAGTGTGAGCATGAATAGTTGTGTGTAGAAGAGATCAGAAAATGCACGGCCACGGACATTTTTGAGAACACACAGGAAGGCCGGAGGTGGATTCGAACCCTGCACCTCTGCAGCGCAACACAGACACACTAACCATTCAACTACCAGTCAGGTGATGAAAAGCAACTATACATTGTCTGCAGATGTGAGTGTGAACAGTTGTGTGGAAAAGTGGATGAGAAAATGCATGGCCACACACATTTTTGAGAACACAGAGGGACAAAGTTGGATTCGAACCTCGCAACTCCAGAGCGCAACGCCAACGCACGAACCATTCGACTACCAGGCAAGTGATGAACACTTTACATATCCCAAAATAAGACCATTTTTTGAAATGTGAACATTTTAGTACGCATGGATAGGAAGGCTTTTTTGGAAGTATTTTTTTTT